AATAACACTAAAATAAATTTACAAAGAATTACACAAACAAGACTATGTTATCATCAAACACATCTAAATACACACACACATATATATATATATAAGGTACCTATTCCAAGCATCAATATCCAAACAATATTAAAACAAACATCATAAAAACAAATAAAATCCAATTAACCAGATGAAAGTTAATTCTTGAAGATCTCAAAATACACCAACTGTGCAATAAAAATTAAAAAGTACACTTTCCACATAACAGTTAATGAGTTATATCATTTAATTAATTAATTTACAAAGAATGGCTACATGAAGAGTACATCATAATATTGCACTTTACACCTACACTGTCACAGGGAACTAGTTTAAAGATTTTTTTCAATTCCAAGTAAACTTCTACAAAAGCAAAATGAAATAGAAACCACAAAGCTCTAACAATTATCATACCAAATTTCCTTTTTACGTTTACTAAATTATAGACCTAAATATCAGTTAGGCCTATTTCTAAGTTTAACTTAATATTGAAGCTTAAAGTTAAAAAATATGTAATAATTTTTAACTTGATCAACCAGATGGAGTAAATAATTCTTTACTGTTTTCTGTTGGATCAAACAAAGCTTCGTTTATTTCTTAAAAGTTTACTTTCATTGAAATCTTATCATTTTACATGCGCCACTTGCGTGATTAACAAGATATGCATTATTTTTTTTATTATTTTTTTCATTTCTTTACTTACAAAGCAAAAGCCTGTATAAACTTTCATTCTCATTTACACCGATGACAGATTTCACCAGAACCAATGATTCCGTAGATGTGATTGGTTGTTACTCGAGTTTAATACAGACTATAAGATGAATAAGCCAATTACAAATTGTGTTTAAAAATTCCTGCATATTTTGTCTTCTATATAATATTTCGAACATTCATTTTCACATTATTGTTATTTTGTTATCCAACAGTAATTTCATTGTAAATAATATTTTCAAAATGTAGCTTTAAAATATTTGAAAGCACGAATAGTTCGCTAATTTTGTTATTTGAAAAAAAAATTGTCAAACATAAAATTACAAACTGTGCGTTATTATTTATTCAACATAAGTTTTTGACTACACCAACAGAGGAACAATTTGTAATTAAGAAATTACTTGCTTATTTTACAATTAAATACTAAAAAAAAGTTGAAACATGCAATGGGCAAGGATAGCATTCAGATTCATTAAAAAAGCACATGATATATAATTTTTGCGACGGCTTGACTGGGTAATGAAAAAACTTTATTATAAATCTACGACGTTTCGACAAGATTTTGTAATCCTCAGGTACAAGTAGTTTTTCATCAATGGAAAATACCCACACAGTTGGGCATTAGATGTTTACAGGCACATTTTTGTGCATATACCATCTACTTCTTGTTAACACCTACAGATATCTCTATTTGTTCTTATAGGTGCGTGGCGTCATACTTGTATGAATCACCATCGAAGGTGGAACATGCTCTGTATTGCTTTGGTATACAATCGTCTTCTTCACATTATTCTTAACTAGCAGAAATACCCGCCCTCCTGGAAGGCTGTTGGGCCTGCAGCCTTTTCTGGAATTGTCTGAAAATTCTACAACAATGTATTCATACTTGACATTCAATAATGTTTACCATCCACGAGAAAAAGGCTTTTATTGAAATTTTAGTTTAAAAATTAACTATCATCACAGCATTAATTCACAGAGTAGATTTTATTAAAGTAGTTCTTTGTAGACACAGTTATCAATGAAAATGCTTTTCTGTTGCAACACTCATGAGACTTTCACTAAATAAAAATAAATATTTTTAAGTTTGTTTTTGATTGTTTATAAATGAAACTTGCTCCTTTTTGTAATTTTTATTGGTTAAACTTGAAACTTACTCCTTTTTGTTTATAATTTTTATAAGTTAAACCTGAAACATATCATTTTTGTGGAAATTTCAATTGTTGTATTTATTGCTTCTCTATAAAAATACTGCCCAGTTATAAAAATAATACCCAGTTATGAATGATGATGATTGGTGCTGTAGTTTCCGAGATCCGAGTTTTGGACGTATACATCGCAGAATATTTTGTTGCGTCAGCGAGGTCACGTGACAAGTGTCACGCCACCTCTCGAACCTTCGGGAACAGTCGGGAGATTACTAGATATAGGGTAGTCTGGTATATATATAAGAGGGTGACAACGTGACGGGACAATGTGTGTGTAGGTAGTGAGTAATTGATTTGCAGTCAGAGTATTGTTGAAGTTCGTTATAGCGTTTGTTTTAGCGCGAATGTTGAAATCAAGTATGTCGTAAAGTTATATTCA